TGTTAAATACTTTTGCCTGTTCATCGATCTTGTAACCCTGTAATAGCGCGTTCTTCTTTCTCCTTACTCTTACTCTCTCTCAGCCTGCTCAAATTGCTGGATGTAAAACAGTCGTCCTCGCAACTCCACCAACTAAGGAAGGAAGTATATGTAAGGTAGTGCTCAAGCTGTTTTTTGTTCTTGGGATATTCAATAGGACTCATAATTTTCTCTATCTCGCTAATTGAGTTTGTTATGTTATTGATGCAGGAGGTGTTGTATTGTGCCAAGAGAGCTGGTGTAACTCACATTCTTAAAGCTGGTGGAGCGCAGGTGTGGTTGCGTTAGTCTTTTCGCTTATGTTTTCATTATGGTGTGGTTACTATTTTTTCTCTAAGATTTGTAGAAATTGTTATTTTGGCTTTTCAGGCTATAGCTGCCATGGCCTGGGGAACAGATTCTTGTCCTAAGGTATAAACAAGGATAAATGTGCCTCAATAGCTTATTTTAAGATATTTTGCCAACCACACATGAATTTAGATTGGTTATTATGACAGGTTGAGAAGATCTTTGGTCCTGGGAATCAGTATGTTACAGCTGCTAAGATGATTCTTCAAGTACAGATATCGTTCCCCAATCACTTGTGTGTAGACTACTCGTTCATTTTTTTTGTACCTCATTATGCTATTGGTTTTTCTTAATGCAGAACAGCGAGGCAATGGTTTCAATTGATATGCCTGCTGGTCCTTCAGAGGTCCTAGTTATCGCTGACGAACATGCTAGTCCAGTTTACATTGCAGCGGATTTGCTCTCTCAGGTACACTAGAGAGAATTTTCTATCAATATAACATATCATGATGATCTTGTGTATGCTCTTATCAGATTTATTTGGTGCGGCGAACTTATACATTTCTTTTTCGTTTTTTTTTGTTGGTTTCTCTGCAGGCTGAGCATGGTCCAGATAGTCAAGTTGTTCTTGTTGTTGTAGGCGACAGTGTAGATCTCAAAGCCATTGAAGAAGAAATTGCGAAGCAGTGTAAAAGCCTTCCTAGAGGAGAGTTTGCTTCAAAAGCACTAAGTCACAGTTTCACTGTATTTGCTCGAGATATGATTGAGGTATCCTTCTCTTTACGGTTCACGCTTACTGTTACTATCTGAAAACAACATGTGTATCATTATCATTTGCTCCATAATTCTCCAGGCGATATCTTTCTCAAATCTGTATGCACCTGAACATTTGATTATCAATGTCAAAGACGCTGAGAAATGGGAAGGACTGATCGAGAACGCAGGCTCGGTTTTCTTAGGGCCATGGACTCCAGAGAGTGTTGGGGATTACGCGAGCGGGACAAACCACGTTCTTCCGACTTACGGATATGCGAGAATGTACAGTGGCGTCTCCCTCGACTCTTTCTTGAAGTTCATGACTGTACAATCTTTGACAGAGGAAGGTCTGAGAAACCTCGGTCCTTATGTGGCGACTATGGCTGAAATCGAAGGTCTCGATGCACACAAGAGAGCTGTCACTCTCAGGCTCAAGGATATCGAAGCCAAACAGCTTTCGCAAACAAATTCGAGTTAATTGCCTGTTTCAGATTCAGACAGAGTCGTCGAAAAGTGTATTTGTATTGTGGAACGAATTTGGTTTCCTTGATCGGTTGATGAGATAATAATAATATACGAGATGTTGTAAAACTCTTTCATAATCTGGATTTTCACTAAGTCTAAATCTATTAAGCTCGAGATCATTGAACCAAAGAGTACTTCGTGGTGTTGACATTCGGTGAACACGCATTAGGATTCCAAAGATACTTTGTTCTATACAAATGACAGTGAGTTTAAGATTATACAGAAAACTGCATTGAAGAACGAAGTGCTAAAATCGCCTTGTTGATCAGTTTCTTCTAGCTCAAGCCGGGCAAAGGTTCTTCGAGAACTGCAGTGGAAAGTAACAGAGCAAACAAAACATGTCTGGGTTTAGTTCTTGCAATTCTAAAATACAATCACAAGGAGAAGAAGAAAGGATAAACCTTTTCTCTTTGTGGCGGATTCAGCTGGTGTGATTTCCGCATTGGAAGGGACGGGTGTCTTTGTTGGCACATCCGGAAGATCCAGCTTCTCAGATTCTTCGGACTCCACTGTGGGCACATCGGGCATCTCATCAACAATAAGCTTGAAACAAAACATACATCACCATCAGTCTCTCTCTCAAAATTAAAGATGATAATGAACAAATTTGTTTCCGTACACCGATGAAACAAAACATACCTGACTTTCTAGGTTGTCAAATTCTGCTAATATGTCTTCTTCATCCTCTGCTGATAGTTTCTCTCCCAATATAGCATTCAGCTCCTGAAAATCCAAAAAATGTTATAGAATCAAACACAAAATCTTGCTAAAAGATTACAGAAATTTTCAAAGTGTACTGCGAAAGCGGTAATAGGAAGATAATAAGGTAATGTATACATACTAAAGCAGTACATAGACTATACTCACATCTTGATAAACTTTAGCATCAGCAGTATCATCCATTAGTTTTTGAACATCATCAAGGTCAACCTCGCTTTGAATCGCTTTAATAGCACTGCTACCTTGCTTTAAGCTCTCAAACACTGCCTTTTGTTTGCTTGTAAGTTCAATATCTGCCAACTGACTCACAATGAAAGTTCGAACAAATCGGTCTCTTTCGTTAGATTTCTCGAAAAGCCACAATCACACATCGAAAGGGATGATACTAGATACAAAAAAAAAAGTTTACTTGTTGTTCAACATTGATGAGCCACTGATCAACTTGCTTCAATAATTCTTCTTGTGTCCTTTTCTTCCTCAATGCTAACAAAGCCCTGTCCTTTCTCTTTTCCTTGATTAAGTCTCTTGCTGCTTGCTTCTCCGCTTCAATTACTTTCTCAAGCTAAATTAGAAACGTTTTGAGAAGATGGGTTAACAAAAAGGAATGATCCTAAACTCAAAAGCTCGAGTTTTTCTCATCAGTTATGAAATGAATCAAACCATACTACAAGATAATCCATTTGATCTCAGATTCCAAAAAAACCTAAAATTCGATCAAAATTCATCAAACCCTACAAAGATAAACAAGTAAGAATGAAAAACCTGTTGCTGATATTGACCGAGCTTGCGTCTCTGGGTTTTGAGAGAGAGAATCGCTCGATCAACCTCCGTGATTTGTGGTTTCTTCACGAACAAATTACCCATCTCTAGTTTCACTTATCGAATCCAACTATAGATAAAATCAAACGATTCAGAAGAAAAGGAAAAGGTTTTTCTACTAGACGAAATCGATTATCGAAGAACAACGCAAATTTCAAAACAAGTCCAGTTTTTGTTCTTCTCTCTCTCTGCGCTTTTCAGTTATCAACAGCGCAAAGCAAAAAGGTTAGGGAAAAGCTCGAACCGGACTCAGAAAATCTAATCGAGATCAAACCGATTTTAATCGAACCGAAATTCCTACAAAACGTAAAAGAAAAGAAATATTTGTTTCAATTGAAATCGAGAAATAAACCAAATTTGTTGAAGCATCGCAAAACGCAGTTTGCTCTGCAGCGTCTCGATTAGGGTCGGTTAGCTTCTAATAAAACCGGCCGGTTCTGGTGGGCTCATGAATCTGTTTTTTAAATCGGCTCCTTTGGCTGGTTCAAAAAACGCTGTCGTTTAGGCCAATGTTCAGACAGTCAGACAGATCCTAAATCTCGACGACGATGAAAAGAGGAAAAGCGCAGTAGTTAGGTCGAAGATCCAAGCTTTGAAACTTTGAACTGTCTCCACGTCTTTAGCCGGTGAGTGTCAACTCTATTCCGAATTCTTCTTTGTGTTTGCGATTTCGATTTTGAGCTTTTTGCTGGTTATTATGAGTTTTTTTTAAGATGTACGAACAATCTCTTGATTCGACTTTATGTTCTGATGGCATGAAAGATGTAATCATGTAAAGATATGGCTTCGATTCGATCTTTTATGTTGTAGCTCTTTTTTTTCTCGAATCAGTGAGCTATTATCATCTGGTTTTGTTACTGTAACTTCTTCGTGAATGTTCTGGCTTTGATCCTTTATAGATTGTTTAGCTTCAGTTACTTCCAATGGAACCTGTTCCACCATCTCCAATTACATGGCCAAATGGCGGCGGTCTCACCACCGAGTGGGTGCATGGGCTTATGTCGTCTTTCGAATGGTCTTCATGGAACCTCCTTCCTTCCCAGTTACCTTCACTGATGCCAGTCAATGTCTTTGATTCTCTCGTACTCACGGCTTCCAAAATCCTCCACAAAGAGCGTAACTGTGTTCACATCGATGATATTGACTCTGATTCCGCAGTTGTTGTGGTTGGTGACATTCATGGTCAGCTCCATGACCTTCTTTTTCTATTGAAAGATTCTGGCTTTCCTTGTCAAAACCGGTTTTATGTATTCAACGGAGACTATGTGGATCGTGGTGCTTGGGGACTCGAGACCTTCCTCGTCCTCTTGTCCTGGAAGGTAAGCTCTTTTACATACAACAGTTTTGCTATGCTTATATTAAATCTGCTCGAATTTTCTTAAAGCTTATATCTTTTGGATGTTTAGGTTTTGATGCCGGACCGAGTCTTCCTTCTTCGTGGTAATCATGAATCGAAATACTGTACATCTATGTACGGTTTCGAACAGGAAGTGCTTACAAAATACGGCGACAAGGGAAGACATGTGTACCGTAAATGTTTGGGTTGCTTTGAAGGTCTTCCTTTGGCTTCCATAATTTCCGGACGTGTTTATACAGCACACGGAGGGCTTTTCCGCAGCCCAGTCTTGCCTAAAAGAACAAGGGGAAAGAAGAACCGTCGGGTACCCCTTCTTCCACCTGAACCAAGCTCGTTGAAACTCGGTACTTTAGAAGAATTGAAGCAAGCTCGAAGATCAGTTCTTGATCCTCCTTGGGAAGGTCCGAACTTGATTCCCGGAGATGTTTTGTGGTCTGATCCATCAATGACTCCCGGACTTTCGCCAAATAAAGGGAGAGGCATTGGTCTTCTTTGGGGTCCCGACTGTACAGAGGAGTTTTTGAAGAAGTTTGAACTAAAGGTAAAACCAAACTAAATATTGATACTTGCTTGCTTCCAAATACTGATTTGGATCAAATGTTTTGCTTTTTATTGATGCAGTTAATCATCAGATCACATGAAGGTCCAGATGCTAGAGAGAAGAGAGATGGTCTAGGTGCTATGGACAAAGGATATACGATAGACCATGAGGTCGAATCTGGAAAGCTTATCACTATTTTCAGTGCTCCAGACTATCCGCAATTCCAGGTATAGTTTGTAATGATCAACAAAAACACGAAGATGAATACGGATCAAAATCTTTATTTTGATCGTTGTTGTGGTACAGGCAACAGAAGACAGGTACAAAAACAAAGGAGCATATGTTATATTGAAGGCTCCTGATTTCTCTGATCCTCAATTTAGAAGTTTCGAAGCAGTTACTCCGCGACCAAAGGTAATTACTTTGCCATTCTTGTAAACTGAACCGATGATTTCTATTGCGTTTTGGATACTTAGTGACATTCGGTTTCTAAAATGTGCAGGCGAATCCTTATTACGATTTTGAAAATGTGATTGATTCTGATGATGAGATGGATAAGTCAGCAATGGACACCAACGACGAACAACCAAATCACTGAATGGATCTTTAAAAATAGCTGAAAAGGGAGAATCTTGAAGTGAAGATTTCTACGGGTTTTTTTTTATGATTGATCATCATTTACTTAAAAGAAAAACGAACCAAATGTAAAGAAAAGAATCATCAAAAGTTCTGATTAAAGTTGAGACTATTTGTAGAAAAATTGATCCTTCTTACTATTAAAAAAAACAAAACTAGATGAACCCCGCATATACAGGAGGCTTATTTTTTAACCAAGTATTGTTTAAAAACAAATATTAATGTGTAACTTTGTCATATTGTCGTCCATTGTTATATTTGTTTTAACAAATAAGTACTTGTTTTCAGTCATATAAATCCTTTAGTTTAGGGTAAAACAATTTCAAAGAAGAATTCATAAAAAAACTAAAAAAAGAGAGTAGTATTAAATAAGCAGTAATAAGCACGAAAATGATTGCTTGAAAGAAGAAATAAAGTATAAAATAAGCAGTAGTAATTCTAAGCACAAACATGATTTTTTTTCACAGAAAAACCTCTCATCTTACACGTTCGTCTAGCCATCTCCCACATGAGATGTTCGTTTCAACATTTCTCATGTTTCAGTTTGATATTAGCAAAAGCACATGTAAACTAAGTTGGACCATGAGTTTTTTTACTGTAATGGTACAAAAATGCAGGAAATAGCATTCATCGAGTTGTGAAAAGAACTTTGAGCTATTTGACAAGAGCTTTGGGAGATTTCCCTACCTTCCGTTTTGTCAAACAAAATAACATTCTGAACTTCATTGGACACCATAAGCACGTGGCTCAATATAGAAGTTGCTCACTTTTTAAGTTGTTCTTGTCTTAGAAGAAAAAATTATGAGAGAAAAACTGAATTATGAAGAAGAAATCGGAAGTAAGGTGATTGAGAAAAAAATACCATTTTTGGTGTGTACTTTGCAAGAATGCCATTTAAGGGTGTCTATTTGCAAAAATACCACTAATTATAGATTTTTAAAACCTAAAACTTAAAATAATAAACCCTAAAAAAATGTTTTGACCCCTAAAACTCTTTAAA